TTAAAATGGATTTATTTAATGTATGTATTTTGTTTTTAGAATGTATCCGTTGCTTATATCGGTATTATCATTGGAGGAGATTACACTTTTTCTTGGTTAAACTTTATAGGTTTAAATATTTGGTAAGTTTTTATTTTTTTTATTTTGTCTTTTGTACTGTTTATGTTTAGTGTTTCAATGCAGCCTATATTGATACTATTTAACCTATGTTTGACCTATAATCACTCAATAATGCATGTACTTATAAATTTGTTGTGGGTATAAATGTGAGCATATGGGAGTAAAAATATTTTAACATGGATATATATGGATTACTCACAGTAAAACAGACATTCGCAAAAAACAAACAAAACGTATTAAGTTAGAAGCCCTCTCTCCATTGGAATGTACACAACAATGATAATATTTATTTAACATTCCTTGTGTTAGACACATCCTTATATTACATTTCAATCATCTGTTTTTGCATTCTTATCTTTTTATGGGATCGCCCTGATTTAATTACTTAGTTAACTTTTCACAGAACATGAATGCCATTTAATTCAATGTTTTAAATAGCTTTAGCATTATATTGTACACTTTACATTTAAAGGAAATCCCTATGGCTATGCCTAGGAAGAGCACAGTTAAAAACAAATCAGAACTGTTTTATGTTTTGTCTGTATCAGGGAATTAGTAAAATTACCTGGGAGCCAGGCAGTAGCAATGTTGACACTGTGTTTGACATAAACCCAGCCATAAGAAGTCTGTTCTGTTTGTCTGGGGTTAGCATGCTGTCCTGATACCAGATGCAAATGTTGCACAAAATTTATATTGCCAGCAAAGAAGAGTATTCTATGTGGTAAACTGACAGCACAAGAAGGCAGCCCTACATATAAATAAAAAGGTATATATCTCTAAAATAAAATATTTTCAAGGCTGCATTTATAAAAGGCTTTTGAAATGCTACATGGGCAGGATCCTTGCACCATAACTACTTCAGTAATATGATGTTAGGTGCTTACACTATACCTTTAATAGTTTTCTAAACACCATGACCTCTACTGCTGATTTTATTACTTCTGGTGCTATGAATCTTTTAGTCGTCCCCGTCCCCCCCCCACACCTCCCCCTTCAATTTTCTGTAAAAACACATTAGCCTGGTTTGACAACAAAAAAAAGAGTCTCCAGCATCAACAGCCAAGCCCTTTGCAGCAACTCAGATAATGCATTAGATCCACCTATGCCACCACACTCACATGCTATAATTGCGGTCTAATGCTGTATAGGTAATGCAAAATTAAATCATCTGCATTACCTAATTGGCTACAGGGGCTATGCTTTAGATGTCAAATGGTGGGCAGTAACAAAAGAAGCATTGAATGAGCAACAGTGGTTTTGGTGCCTCGAGTGCTTCATTTACTATATATATTATATTTTGTACTCAGGAAAATGCACATATTTTTGTACATTTCAGTGAATTAAAATTGCTTACCTGCCTCTGAATTAGTGAATTGCAAAAGATGACTTTAAAAGTTATTGATTGGGGCTATAAAGCAACAAGACAGTACTAGGTGGTTGACCAAGTGTTGTAGAAGGAGAGATCAAAATGTGAGAAGAGGCAATATGAGGATGGACATTTACATATTATAAATTAAAAGCAAACCTTATTACACACCCTCAATTAATCCACTAGATTACCTTACAAAACCTTTAGAGATTCTGTCAATCTGTTAAATATACAAAATACAAAAAAATTATACTGCACTCATAAATTGAAGATGAATTTCATTGCTAAATTTAATAAATCATTGGTGAATTCATTATCATACGTAAATATAATTCATTGGTGAAGTTATGTTTTAAAGTCTGAAAAACTGATAATATATACACGCTTAAATTGATAATATATACAAACAAGTTAATAGAAACAATACTTTATGGATCTCCTGTTTTAACTACATGTTAACCATAGGAGTCCCTGACCATGATACTAGATAGCTGTATTTGGATATTCCAAAAGATTTTTTTATCCTGAGAAAATCGGATAAGTGGGAGCAAAAAGAGGGAAACCAAAAAATGTCCAAAGTTCCTTTCAAAAAAGTCAAAAAAAGAAAAAAAGAAAAAAAGAAGAAAAGAAAAAGAAAAAAAAGAGAAAAAGATGAAAAAAAGTATGTATAAACAGTCCCAGTGTGTACACACTATAGTGTATGGGTGGATCTCACCGGTGGAAGAAAATGTTCTGTTGTCCAGTATCTTTTAATGTGGAGGTAACTCCTCTGTTGTTGTAAAACCTCTTTTTTCTTCTTTCCTTCCTCCTTTGCAGGTAACATGTGTAGTGTATTTCCTCACTTGTTCCTCATTAATCCCTGAGGTGCCAGGATACGTCAGGGTGTGTATCTGGTCAGCTGGATCTCCTGTGCGTGCTGGCTGGTGCAGGGGCTCCTGTGTGGCCTGCGCGCTCGGGATATGAATAAATCCCTTCGATGGCCCTGTTTCTCAGGATAAAAAAATCTTTTGGAATATCCAAATACAGCTATCTAGTATCATGGTCAGGGACTCCTATGGTTAACATGTAGTTATAACAGGAGATCCATAAAGTATTGTTTATATTAACTTGTTTGTATATATTATCAATTTAAGCGTGTATATATTATCAATTTTTCATAACTTCACCAATGAATTATATTTACGTAAGATAATGAATTCACCAATGAAATTCATCTTCAATTTATGAGTGCAGTATCATTTTTTTTTATTTTGTATATTTTGAGGTATTTTTGGCCACCTCGATACTTTGCACCAACAGGGATAAAAGAGTGCTTGTACATAAAGATTATTTCAATCTGTTAAATATAGGCCTCATGCTATAACAGGACCATTGCATTTATCTCTTTACAGCAGGCCTGTCCAACCTGCGGCCGCCAGATGTGGCTGAACTACAGCTCCCATGATTCGTTCAATTAAACAGATAGCCAGGGAATCATGGGAGTTGTAGTTCAGCCACATCTGGGGGGCCGCAGGTTGGACAGCCCTGCTTTACAGCATGATAGTAATTAAGGGTATTTAATGCTATTCAAGGATATTTTTTTACATGAGAAGAAGCATGTATGCTAAAATGTGTGGTTTTACTAGAACAAGGTTCCTGGCATTTGAAATATCTTTTGCTTATTCCATGAAAACAAGCATATGAACCCTCTCTCATATTTGGGGGATTGGAGAGCTATATTCACTGTGGGTATTGCTATAATCACTATACTCACTTGGATCACAACGATTGCTTTTGTAAGAGCATACTGCTTCGCTCTCTGGACTAGGAGAGGTCTACCCACTGCAAGCTGGATCCTGGTCTTGGGTCCAGGGTGGGTGGAGAACAGCGAGACCCCGACTAAGCTGCATCAGTTTGTGGGGTTTACGATGGTTATGGTGTTCCAGTGCTGTGCAGGGTGCCAGGTGGTCCGTCACAATAAGTAAATAACATTTCGTATGTGAATCTTAAAAGTTTTTGGCCCCAAATGCTACCCTATGTTATATATCTTTGCTCTTGCAAAATAAATAAACACATCTTGAAACACTAGACATTTAGAAGTAAGATAATACATATATTTAGTATATATACATATATATATATATATAGTACATTTTCAAATAATTCACAGCATCTTTTACATTCAAAATCTGGCAGGATGGCCATTTTCTTTTATTTTCTTCCCCATGTTTTCCTATTTTATTTATTTTTTGTTGGATAAAAGTACTGAAAATGGAAATTATTTTAACATGGTTTTCTTTAATTACAGCATGTCAGGTGGCATTTCTTACTCTTTCTTTACATTATGGTCGAATACACAACCCAAGGACAACAAAAATGAGGTCATGGATGCAATCAGCACTCATCATAGGGAAGATGAGAAAAATGCAACATGTGATTTAGAGCAACAGTTACCAATCAGACACAATGACAAATAAGACTTTTTATATTTTAGAATTGTTAAATATTTTAAAATATAAAGTAAATATAATATAAAGGGAGTTCTAGAGCTTTTTCTAAGTTTGTGTCTAGTGAAGACTCTAGATTTGAAAAAAATATTCTGTGAAAATAAGAGAACCCATGGAAAATCTAGAATATGAGAAAAAAAGGATACAAAGTAAAGGTAAGAAAGGAAATAGAAAACAGATATACCGTGTTTTCCCGAAAATAAGCCCTACCCCGAAAATAAGCCCTAGCTGGATTATCGGGGTGGGCTGCAATATAAGCCCTACCCTGAAAATAAGACCTAGGCAGGGCCGGCAGCTGCCGGCCCTTTAAATGCCACAGCCGACTGAGCGCTCTATAGAGAGCGCTCAGACAGCTGCAGCACTGCCTCACCTCCCCTTCCCTGTAGCGTGGCGGCTCTCTCCAGAATACGCGACCCAGCAGACGGCGAGAGTGCACACAGCACCAGGTGTGCGCTACCATCCCGTCGCACCGACAAACAGGCTGTGGAGGAAGGTATTGAGGTGTGGAAGAGTAGCCACAGAGGGAAGGGAAGGAATATACAGAGCAGGAAAGTATTACAGAAGGAGAATATTACAGAGAGAGAGGGAGGAAGAAATAATACAGGAGAGGGGGAGGAGAGGAAGGGAAATAATACAGGAGGAAGGAAATAATACAGAGAGAGTATTACAGGAGAGAGAAATGTACAAAAGGCTGAGGGAAGGCATATTACACCGCAGGGAAGAGGCCACAGGAGGAAGCTAGGAGAATATTACGAGGAGGGAGAAGTATTACGAGGAGGGAGGAAGTATTACAGGAGGGAGGAGGTACAGGAAATGTACAGGGAGAGGGAGAGAGGAAAATATTACACAGGAGAGGAGGAGGAGTAGAAACAGCCCACAGGGAGGAGGAGGAGGAAGAAATATTACACAGGGGAGAGGTAGGAAGTATACAGGGAGGGAGGAGGGAAGGAAAACCCACAGGAGAGGTAGGGTCTCTAGGGGAGTTGCCTTGGAGGCACCCGGCAGACTAGCTCTAAGCCTACCACAAAATAAGCCCTAGTGTGTTTTTTGTGACTAAAATTAATATAAGACCCGGTCTTATTTTCGGAGAAACACGGGTATTAGCTATATGAAAAATATAACTTTCATGTTCCCATGCAGGGTTGCGGGATCCAAATTTAGGGGTAGCAAAAGAGCAAACCTTCCTATGTGTTTCACAATGTTATGTGGTTACTCAAATGAACACAAGAACAGATAAATATTTAAATAAATAAAAAGTGTTACTATACATTAGTGAATTAAAAAAAACACTTAAAGGGAACACAGTGAGCATCCAAAGCATAAACCTATAAGCCCATTGCAGTGCATATGGTGTTGCCAGGCTATTGGTACCATCTCCTGTTTCCATGTCAAACCATTTTGAGAAGTTGGACACAAACAGTGAGTCCCAAGGCAATTTTTCCAGTTTGGCTAGTTTGGCCTTTAATTTGAAACTCACTTTAAACTCATAATAATTCTCACTTCAGTGAATAACACTGACATATAACCAAACCGTGTTGCATCCGCATATTTCCTTGCAATTGTTCTCTTTCTGTACACTAGCACCCTTCATGATCATTAGAGATATATCCTGTGGATTACCACGCCTCACCCAAAGGTGGAGTTAAGGCGTACCTACGGAAATAATAAGTGACCACCCCCTTGTGTCCAGGCCCAGATCAATCCAAATGGAAACATTTGGTTCTATCTTCTCTTCTGTACCCGCCTCAGAAATAATAATTGCCTCTATGAATTTGTTATTATTTTCCCATTCTATACATATGTTGCATGCCGGCCTTCCGATCCGATAGGATGGACACCACAATTCCTTCCCCTATGGTCAAGTTAGGCCACTCATGTTTGGACTTGGTTAGAAGATGGCACTTCTCACATTCCAAATATAACAAAAATGAGGCTTTATTATTATTCTGTGGGGGTAAATATGAATGTTTCTGTCCTTCCTTTGAATATGATACTGGAACAAGGCTAATGGCACTTACATATCAAAGAGATTTACTCATCCCTTACAAGGTACATGCCAAATGGATGAAGAGACATTCAGACTTTTTCCAAGTGTAGAACCTCATACCTTGCAGAGCCTTGATTACTTCACATCCATATAGTAAAATCCTTTTTCACATTGCTATGCCATTCATACTACCCCTTCTGTCATCTGACCGCTGTGAGGGTCCGAGCTTCAAAAGATGTAACCACTTTTGACCTCAACAATACCATCTCTGTAATTTGTACCATTTACTACACAAATTACATTAAAGGATAATATTCCATAGTGCAATAATAAATTATGCACCCTTGCCGTGACAATGGTTATGCCAAGAGTTTGTTAATAATAATAACTTGTAGAATAGAAAAGGTTTTGGTATATGTCAATGTTTGAAAGAACAAGTTGTTTTTTTTTTTTTAAATGTATTAAATAAATTACCACGGCCTTTCTCCAACCTATTGTGTCATTGTCTTTATTTATCTATTACCACCTACAGCGCACATGTATTATAACAAACTTCTTATGTCCCTAAATAAGTATAACTAAAAGAAAATAACTAAATAAAACCAATTTATGCAGAACTGTCACCTATAGAAATTATACTATTGAATGAATAAAACATTGAAAATCACCTGTAACTTGTGTTCTTTGAAATATAATTAACAGATGCCCCAGGTTAATCGGAATAAATAGCTCTTGAAATCTATGATACCTATGACATAGATCCAGACTCTACAGGATTGCCAATAGAATCACTCCACAACCTCTTCTCCCTTTTCTCCAGCCATTGCCTCCCGGTGCGCAAGCCCCGCAGCTGAAATCGAGAGGTTTAAATGCAAATCAGTTAGTCTATTTTGTCTTCCTAGCGTCTGTTTATGGTGGTGAAGCAGGTAAGATTATTGAGACGAACTGTCTGTTTTTAAACACTGTCTGACCCAAGGTGAATGTATATGGCAGGAGGATCCTGTCATTTACTGAAGGTAGGGATCAGCTTTTCACCTCAAAACTATTTTGTAATAGAAAACTCATTCCTACATTTAGTATGTGACAGGATAATTCAGTCATATACAGGCACCTTGGGTCAGACAGTGTTTGGAAATTTTGATACATTTATTAATCCAAATGTGAGCTTTTTCTTACTTATGCAGTGCATATATATATATACATATATATATATTCCATGTGAATATACTTTCTTTTTCATTTATATATTTTAGTATATTTTAAATTGTGTTACCTCACCCACTCCCCCCCCCCCCGTTTTAATATTAATAAAATCTATTTTTTAAGGGATTTCAACATCATTTTACACATCTCTGTATCCTGTCACCGCTCTCTTATGCATATTGCATTATACATTTTCTTTTATGTCAATTGAAAAACTGGTCACATGACTGATATCTGCCAGTTCATTTTGAATGTACAAGCTTTTTAAACAATACAGGTCCATATCTCTGAAAAAGCATGTGTGAAGGTGAAACGCGTTTGTGTGTCACGGGTTTGGGGTGAATGGGCTCAGTATGCAGAGATTTTATATGGTCACTAAATGTAAGGTTTTTATTATAAAACAAATAAGTATAATGAAAAAGTCCCAATGCAAAATAGAAATGGAAAATAAAGTAATATCTTTATAAGAAATAAAAGTCCTTAAGGTAAAATAAAGTATTTTAAATTGGAGCCCTCCCATAAGGAAGGGTTTAAGGGCCTATATAAGTGGAAGGCTCTTCTTGGTAACTAGGTGTCCACACCTCCCTATGTGGGCGGGATGTTATGTCAGTTTGTTGATTTAAATTGCAATACCATGGTGCTTCCATGCTTGCTGAACTGGACTCCCCAGGGCTTTGTCACTCTAAGGATATCCTGGAGCAGCATGGGTAACATACAGATATTACCCAACATGCCCACAGGAGGAGAGATCTGCATAAGGGCAGACAGGGTGTGCCTGCCTTCCCCTGCATGTAGCAACTCACATGGAGTGGCTGCAGGGGCCAGCGGGCAAGGAGAGAGCAGTGTGTCTCCCACTCATGGCACGCTGCTGAAGTGCTGCAGTACAAGCTGGCAGGAGGGTTTGGCGCGTCCCCCACTCCCAAGATGCCGAAATCCATGTGGCGTCTGGTAAATGAGTGCAGCACACCAGCCTTTCCTTGCGTGCTGTGACAATGCTTAATTGTTTTTATTTTGGTTATAAATAAAACATATTTTTTTTAATCAAATTTGGACCTTCCTTTTTTTTTTATCTCTGAAGATTTTTACCTGGAGGATTCATACTTCATACCACCTAAGCTATATAAGATTGAGCATAACTTTAATGTGCTCCTTGTCTGTGAGTATACCACCTTTTATTATTTTATTATTTTTTTAGCTTAACAGAGAGCAATATCTTCTTGTTTTATTTTCACTTTACATGCTGGGGAACTTTTACTGTGATAAAACAGCATATTGAAAGATACCACTTTTATGAAGCTGAGAACCACAAGCTGCTGACCGGCCTTAAGATACCTTTTTCTACATAAGATTAAGATCGAGACCAAAATCAGCATATCCACAGACTGGGATTGTGCTAGCGCATATATCTGGAGCTGATTTTAAGCTCCAGAAGATTGTAAGTGCATTTCCTTTTTTATTTATACTCACCAGCATCAAAAATACTACACCATAATCCCTTTTGTATATTGCTCCATCTCAATTTAAGTTGAGGACACTTGTTAAGGCAGGCTTCCCTCCAATATTTTTGTTGTTGCTATTTATATGCATTTTTTCACGTTAATATTATGCATGATTAAATGAATACTTTAGCATTAGGAATATAACCTTGTCCCTACTTCTATACAACTAATAAAATAAAGGTTTTACTCACTTTTCTTTAGCATCAAGGCTTCTTTGGTGCTGCGCACCTGTCCACGTCTTGTGATGTCATTAAAGAGGCATGGATGAGTTTTTATTCATTTTTTTCATACTTTTTACACTCAAAACTTGAAGAAAGGATTATATAAAAAATAACTTTGATGTGACAGTATTAATAACAGCTTACATATTCATCCCTATGTAAGACGAGTAGAATATTTGGCATTTTGCCTTTCCATTACACACAGCTAAAGGGAAGATCTATTTTGTCGCGTTCTAAGGATGGAAAATGTCTACCGAATTGGGAATCATGCAAATCAATTATACAAAGTAGGTGAGTTGCTATGTAGTATGTGATAAGCGATGGAAACCTTATTACCACTTTAGGTTTTGGTAAGCTTCAGTATAGGTCTTTTCCCTGACCACGCATACTCGGTAATTTAGGAATCTAATACACCCTTGCCGAATTTTAGTTTAAATAAGGTTTAGTTGCTTGAGGAGATGATCATTTTTATGACATTACAATATCCCAGCCAAGAGATATGGGGAAATGCCCCATCCCTCAAGTAACCTTAAGTTGTGGAGCAAAGCTTATCTAGAAATGCAGTGCACAATTTAAATGGAAATAAAGCTTAAAGAGTAACCTTGGCAGGGGGCATGGTAATGTTAAAATGTATGGATTTATGTGTGCTCAGCTTAAGATTCAAGAGGGACTTAAATGTTTCAAACACTTTGAGAAGAATACGGAGTGTTGTTTTTAGCCTCTCCACAAAAATTATCATCCAGATATGTGGCAAGTTTATGATCCACCTCCTGCCATATCCCGATTTACCGAGAGGACAAAGTAAAAAGGCGGAGTGACAGGAAGCAACCCTACCGAGTGCATTAGTAATTTGCACAGTCGCTGACAGGGCCTTACGTACTCTTACTCTCACAATTGGGCACATATATAGCGATCTGATAAATGTTCTTTTTCTGGCTAATCAAGGCAGCATGTACACATGGGTTAGCTCCTCCCCTTACAGCCGATAGGCCAGGAATAAACCAAATTCCTTTAAAAGGAGTATCCCTGCATAGGTCCCTTGGTCTTTTTCCTGTCCTACAGCCCTTAGAATGTGAACATTTTGCTCCCTTTACTCAAGGACATGTATGTTTTTTCTCTTCATTACTTTATTTGTTTTTGCTATTTTAGGGTGCCTTTATACTGTGGTGTGTTTATACTATGGTTCTTTTACACTGTGATTCCTTTAAACTGTAATGCATTATGCAGCTGTGCCTTATGCTGTAATGCATTTAAACTGGTGCATTATGCAGTTGTGCCTTATGCTGTGATGCATTTAAACTGTGGTGCATTATGCAGCTTTGCCGGATGCTGTGATGCATTTAAACTGTGATTCATTATGCAGCTGTGCCTTTACTGCCTTATGCTGTGATGCCTTTTATACTAATGTTATGGACAAAATACTTGAAAGGATAAAATGTTTTTTTTACTCTGTACATGTGTACTCAGTACTATTTCCTCTGTAAATTCCTCCCATCCAGCTACCCTCCCCCTTCCCATTGAGCAAGACTCGTGTAACAAATTCCTTTGTTAAAAGAACAGCTTCCTTTACTAACTCCTCCCCCACTTCCTTTGTGCAAACTAACAGCTATGTGCCACGTGTAACAAAAGACGGAGCTGGAATGTGGGTGGGAGAACTCTGTAATGATGACATTACATCCTGTAGGGTGGGTTTAGACAAGACCCCTTAGACTGTTAACCAATTGCTGAATGTATACTGTATGTTAACTGTGACTCTGTACATGACGTATTTCTGCTTTAAAAGGGAATCGCACCCCCTGCAATAAAGGCCACTCTGGAGTTCTTCATAAACCTGCAATGTGTCCGGTGTGATTTACTTCTGGAAGACATGCGCATAATCAATTTGGAAGGAGTAGATAGACAATTAATCAAAGTGCTTTGATCTAAATCACTAAGATTCCTTTAACTTTGGTTATTTTTTGCACCTTGTTGCCTTTTTATCACCTTGCAGGCACTTTTACTTTATGCTTCTCCCTGGGTCCCAGAGATGTATTCCCGGTTTCCTGGGTGTTCAGGGGCCATGTATGCTGCAGACTGAGCTCTCTCCCTTGTCTCTAGCCAGCAAATGCACTTGGAAGATACCTGCGCATGTGCAGTTTGTGCCTTAAGGGCCCAATACCAATGACTTGCATTATGTGAATACAGATTGCGTCAGCCATCTTGGATTAGGGCAATTGCCCGAAAGTATCTAAAATGGAGGGGAAAATTACTGTAAACATCCCAAACTTATTTGAAAATTATTTGCAGGTTCTCCAGACATGGGTAAGTGCTATTCTCAGCCAGTGTTTTAAATGTGTTTGACTGTTTTCTTGGTTATAGAATTTGACAGTGCCCTTTTGTACATTTATACTTTACCACATGTAATATTTTTTTTGTGTCTTTATGTTATGTCTGAATCTACACCGTGTTCTGATTGTGGTTGAAATGCAGTGGTAGGAAAACTGTTATGCATTACCTGTCTTCAGAAGGTAACCTCTTCAGCTTCACCTATAGCTGCACAGTCACAGGGCATGCTGGC